CGCATTCAGTATAGCAAACAGTAAGGCTAGTAGGCCATAGTTCTCAGGATATGCCCAAAACTGTGAGTAGGTCGATTTGGATGATTTGCGTGATTGCGCGGCAAGCCATAGATTGCTAGGGATACACGCCTTGAGTTTTTCGTACTCTCGAAGGAAAAGAGATTCGCACATACATCCCACCAAGGGCTCTAACCGCTCAAAAAACAATGTCACAATAGCATCTAGGTCCCCCGGAGCAGGAAGCAAAACGAAAAAGCTCTCCATGCGGCGTTCCCAATCTTCCAATTGATTCTGAAACGTGGCCGCAAGCGACTTGCTCTCCTCGTACAGTGGTAAAGGAAGCACCCCAGCAGCTCTTGAGAACGCCAGAGGAGGCTCAGCAGACAGATCGTCTAGGTCGTCATCAACTCCTGGCGACAACGATGCTGGACCATTCCCTTGATCCCTCTCATCTCCCCAACGGCAGTGGTGTCGAATTCCTCTTCTTATACAAGCTGAACAATTGGGAACATTCCGGTCACATTTGATTTTGCGGATCCTGCACTCCACACAACTCACCGGCTTGCGCATACGGCGCATCTTGGTGGGACGAGCGGGGTCGGTGCCATCCATGCTGCGAGCGAATTCTGACAGGTGAACTACGTATTGCTAACACACCCCATAAATCCTATGGAGAGGTCATTCTTGTGGAGGCAATTTGTCGTGCAGATTGGGTTTTTCGATGGTGCAAGGCACGAAACGGAAGGCGGCTAGAGCGACGGATTTCAAAGTAGGTGAAAATCTTATACAGAAAACCAAACCAAAGCTTGGGAAAGGGAAACAGGTTGCCTCGAATGCGACAGATACCTCGTTCCAAACTCGAAGTATAGCGCTGCCGCAGCAGTCTGTGAGCGTTGATCGGTCACAGAGTCTGACGACGAAACGCAAACAGACTTTGACGGATCTGGTGCAGAACACACGACACTCATCTGCACACATGCGAAGGGACGCTATGAATGGGCTTGTGGAATTGATCACAACTTACCCGTTCTTGGCGGAGACGGAGACAGCAAGATTGATCAATGTATCTCTCCCTATGCTCAGTGATGAAGAAGCGTCTGTACGAAACAGCGTGCAACAATATCTGAAAGCTCTTTTGGAACAACTGAGTCTTGCGCAAATGATTCCCTATCTGAATTCCATGTTACTGTTCGCCACTTCGGCGATGTCGCATATTTCGATGCCTGTGCGTATGGATGCATTGCTTGTGATGGAGCGACTAATCTCCAAAGCTGGTAAATTAGTCACAGAAGGATGGGAAGCTGCTTTAGACGCTGAAGCACGGCCGGGAAATCGGCACGGCCAACGAGTATTACAGGCGTTGTTTGCTATGCTGGGAGTTGCGAATGATGCACAGAATGTCAGACAAGGAGGGCACGCAGTCAGATCGGGAACCACAGCCTCGGTCGAACTACAGCCTGCTGGAAGACTGCGAGTTCTTCGTATTCTTAGCCAGTTCGTTATGCTAGCGATGCAAGAATCCAGCTCGGACAGGACTTTGCCGTTATGGTGCTTTGAACTAGCGCTGGAATCAGTTAGTGAGCGTGAGCAGTTTGAAAACATGATGAGAGATTCTCAGCCGGAAGCCATGGCTCAGGATATGCCATGGATTGAGTTGGCTAGGATGGATGCGCGGCAACTAGCACCTATGAATGTCATGGATGCATTGCTTGCCGGGTCAATGATCCAGTCAGCGGTGAATCCCGACTCGGATTCCATATATGAGCAGCTAGTCAAGCTACTGCATAACTCTTTGATCGCAACGTTGCTGGACTCGATGCCCTCTGCGCTGTCTTTAGAAGGTCCGACACAGAATGTACACCTTGAATTAGTTGCAGAGATTTTGAACATTTCCGCTACATTATGGCGAGTGATTCTCATACAGCATCTGGAACGGAACCATGCTCAGGCAGGATCGAAACCCCTGGCAAGTTTGGATTATCTGCACCGACTACTTAATCACCTTACACCCTACTTCCCCACTTCTGAACGGGATGGGAGTATGTTGCAACTCAACGGAATTTATTGTGAGTTGGTAGCCCTCGCTTCTCTTGCGCAACAAGCTGAGACCCGGTCCAAGCATCGTAAGCAAATCCAACAAAACGCACAACAAATCGACCGCGTTCTGATCTACCTTACGACGCAATTCGAAATAGCTTCCGATGAGCTGACCTCGGCAATCTACCGATCGTTGATTCCTACATTCTGGCTTTTGCTAACCGCACCAGAGTCGAATTCAGACGATTGTCTAATGGAATCACTGCTACAGCACTTTATCACAATCCCTACCCAGTCGCCATTGAAGCCCGTTGCGTTTGAATTTTTGGCGAGACTCGCACTTATGCATACTTTTGCAACATTGCGCATGCCTTTAGATGCTGTGCATCAACCGCGAGCAGTATGGCAAGAATGGTTCGCATCTCTACCGCGCGTGCTATGGGAAGCATCTACGTTTGCCGTTTCTCGAAACAAAGGCACACCAGAAGCTCGTCAACAGAGCGAGACACTTGCTCGTACGATAATTGTGTTTCTACAAAAAGTCATTGTGCAAGCGGACGGAACATTGTTCGATCGCGAGACATTGATGAAGCTCTCGGGATCGGTCCAGCCGCTGTTTGGCTTTCATCACCCGGTACGTGGTAAGATTACCGGTCCATATGCTCGTCTCTCCATACCTACTCAAGCTATAGCGCGTGCATTTGCAAAAGATGCGAATGTGGACATTTTTGTATAGGTATTGTACACTAGAAAGATCGATTCAAATTCGCGCCATTCCTCATGGTCCCTATTGGACGAAGATGGTCTGTGCATTGTTAGTCATCATCTCTACCATGGGTAATCGGTATCCTACGTTCGAAACAGGTAGGCATTCTCGTACTTAAACAGTGAATTTCTATGCTGGTGGTCAGCTGAACCGCGCGTCATGGCTTCGCGAATCTTCTGCGTATTTGAATCAGGCGCTATTACGAACGGATGCGCGAATTTTGCCCCTGAGTAATGGCAATCCTCTGATTCGCCGTGAAGATTCATCACACCGCATCGCCTTGTTTCCTTGGAAAGAGGTCGAGAGTGCGGTGATGCAGACGGTACACAAATTTTCTCCCACTGCTACTACCGTGTTCGGTCCTAAGACGTACATGCTAGAGAAAAAATCGGATACGGAAGACAAATATTGGGCGCGCAGTACTCAAGGGATCTTGGCGCCCTATCTCTCGCTTGCATTCCTAGGGATTCTAGAAGAAGCAAATACTTCGCCAGAAACCATGGACTTTGAAGATACGGGTGGAAGAGCCATGGTGGTGCCAAAAGGCGCGCCATGCTTTGCCTTGTCCCTTAGCTACCGTCCCTCGGATTTGCCAGCAACGGAGAAATTGCCGTGTGAGGAGCTGCTGGAGCACCTCACCTCACCAGACGCTCCCTATCAGACACTCGACATGCGCACGGTGATATTGAGCGGAGCAATGGATCGAGAGGATGCGGCGATCCTAGCCAATGCTCGGACGTTACTAGACTGGAATGACCGCTACATGTTTTGTGCAGGCTGTGGAAGTCGTCAATATTCCGTTTGGGGTGGACACAAGCGTGGTTGTGCTTCTGTATTGGCCAAAGTGACCCAAGATCAGCAACCTTTGGTAAAAGCGTTGTATTCTGGACCGGAAGCTGAACAGCTGTGTGCTTCCGTCACTTCGGTACAGAACTATAGCTATCCACGTTCAGATCCAGTGATCATCGTTGGGATCATCAGCGCAGACCGTGAGCATATATTGCTCGGAAGACAAAAGTCATGGCCGAAAGGCTTCTATTCATGCATCGCGTACGTATAAAGACTAATAAAGTGGGTTTGTCGAGGCTGGTGAGTCGCTTGAAGAAGCTGTACGGCGCGAAGCACTCGAAGAGACCGGTGTGCGTATCGACCAAGTTGCGTATCATAGCTCACAACCATGGCCGTTCCCTGCCAACCTGATTTTTGGGGCTTTTGGCATAGCTGATGCAACACGGTCGGAGATTCGCTTAGATCTCGACGTAGAATTGGAGGATGCGTTCTTCGCTCCTCGCGCAGATGTTCTTGCTGCAGTGGAAGCCGCTGAGCAAGGAAACAAAGACGCAAACATCCAACCACCTACTAGGAACGGACATCGCTACATGTATGTTGACTACTAATCTAGCGTACCACCACCTTCAGCTATTGCACATGTCTTGCTTGCCGCTTATGCTCGAGGCGACGCACTTCTGCAGGGAAAAATGTAGTGATAGATATGCAAATATTTTTCTCCAGTATTCCAACGTTGGTTTCCGTCTTCTTTGTTGCGTTATGTTCACTTCTGCAGCGCGGTTATCGCGGTCAGCATGGAAAGGTGTGTGTTGATATAAACTAGGGAATGCATACGTTGCATACTAGTCTTGATTCAAGCAGGATACTGACCAACAGGGCCGTTCTTTGTGCCTTTCCCCAACTTGCAGCAAGCCTTGAAAAATAACACACCTATCCGCACAAACGCACGGAGTTGCACGATCCTACCGAATTTCGTCGGGTACGTAGGAGGTTTCATGGTATCCTGACCTAGACTCAAATTCCTTGTGCATAATGGAAAGCATCACATGCCTGTGACGGTCACTGAGGAAATGGTGGGCCACAAGCTAGGCGAATTCGCCGCGACACGCAAGCGATTTAGCTATCGGTATGTTTTTATGAGAAGAGGAAGCTTACTGAAAGTCTCACGAAGAACAAGTAATCGAATGTATACCCACTGTTTAGGCTCTCTAGCGATAAGCTTGCCGTTTAACTATAAACTGGGTTTTCATTATCCGGATTACTGCTGTTTAGCCTCAGTAATGTTATCAAGCCCATGCTACAAGCCTCAAGGCAAATGCAAATTAAGCAGTATAGGTATAGCAAGCAACCTAAGTAGCGAGGGATTGTGGGGATCGTATAGGTAAAATGGATCAAAAGCCCGATAAATGGCCTGATAGCTCAGAGGAACGAGTGGCGCTTTCCGGTAGATATGTATTATCTAATAAACTGGCTGGCGCAGGTCCCGGGTTCGACCCCCGGTCGGGTCTTTTTTTGGCTAGCAAGAATCCCAGATGGCATCGTGGATGCATTGGAGCGCTTGGTTGACCACTGAGTCGATAGGTTGTGTTTGTGCCTCGATCACGTTCAAATGCGGAACCGGTCCGCCGTCAAATTCGCGCGTTTCAGTACGAATGGGCTGGCCGGATTCCACATTTTGATTCGTGAACATTTTGGCGTGCGCTTCAAGATAAGCTGGCCATACGATAGCATCAAAGTAGAACGGCGGATCTTCCCATACTTGACCATCATCTAACACATAATTTGGGCGTTGGTATCTACGTTTCTTGACGAGTTGCTTGGATATGCGTAGAAATATCCGCACAGAATACAGGTTGCAAACTGCGGTATCGAAGAAAGTCAGAAATCCCTCGACAATAAGAATGTGAAGCTTAGATGTATGATGCTGGTTAGGCGACGTGATTCGTGTTTTGCAGCTCGGGTCATGAAACTTTTCGCGCCATTCTTGAACCATCGCCGTAGGCAAAGTACATTGATAATTGCTGCGACGATACTCGTGTGACTCGAAATCTTCTGGAAGAGATTTGTGCTGATAGAAATAGCGAATGACGCGTTCAAGGCGTCGATAGTCGGTCTGTATTGGTGAAATGCTCATGACTTACAGATCCGTGCGGCGTATCCCAATCAGTCACATTGTACTCCGCATTGTGCGGCATTTGATCCTGTGGTGGACAGAAATCGTCTTGGTGCAGTACATGTACAGAGCGAATCGGTGAGCTCTCACTGGAAGGTTGCAAGATCGCAACCAGATTTTGAACAATCGTAGATTTCCCGGAACTTGTTGGACCACTTTAATGAGCAAACAAAGCTACGAACCCTATCCCTACCACCAAAACCTCTTCAGGCATGCTGCTTTGCTTGGCAATGCAATCGATTCAAGACCCGATCCCGATCAAGGTCCGATATCGAGTTCCATGACAATAACTAAGGAGGCTATGTTTTCTGTTTCTTGGCACTCGGAGGTTTTTCATCATGATCCGAGTCTTGATCCTGGTCGGAATCGCTAGACCCTTCGGACGGGCTTCCACCGTCATCGGATGATTCGCCCTCAAAGTCTTCGTCTTCTGTAGGTCAGTAGAAAGCCACATACCTTCTTCGTCATCATCCTCGTCGTCGTCGTCAGGGAGTGCCTTTACGTCGTCGTCTTCGTCAAGTAGGTCATCTACGGCTTTCAAGGCTGCTGGGTCGTCTGCCAGTTCGTTCTTGACGCGTAACTTGCGCTCTGCAAAGAAGTTGTTCAGGCTATCCAGCTCTTCCCTGGCGATGGATTGGAAAGTATGATCGCCGCCGTGACGTGTCTCGATACGAAGATCGAAAGTCTTGGCAGAAGCAATCGCACCGCCAACCCGACTAAAGACCAGCTGATGAATCTCACTGTATGGCACGAGAATTGTCTGCTTGCTGACCCAAATGAGACTTTTGTTTAGTGGGTACAAAGTGCCGTCGTTCGCCTTGACGTTGCATCGCACGCTTTCTTGGCCCATGCTATTAGTGAATCCGGTAGGCACATTCACTTTCTGATGCGACAGCACACGGAAGAGATTCGTAATGATACGGAATGTGGGCTCTTCGTACCTTTTTTTAAGTTTGCCTTCATAGGTAGACTGTATAGTGTCTTCGTCCAGGTTCAGCTCTGCGTCCATTTCCTCTTCGCGCGGGAATTGTAGCACGAGGAACGGGTACCGAGTTTGTCCCTGCCGAATAGGCGGCTCAAGAGCAATGACAAACGTCACATGGATATCGTCCGGTTTCGGCAGAAGGAAAAGCTGCGTAATGGAGCTGTATAGGATTTTATAGTCGTATGTTTTCCCGCGCAATCGCAAGAATTCCGCAAAGAGATCGATATCGTAGCGGCCGCGCGGTGTAAGAACCAACACTTCTTTCAGAACCAAGATTGCGTCGCCGGCCACTTGATCGATATCGGCCTTGGCACGAATTGCGTTGTGGAATGCAGCTGCAGCGCTCAGCTCTTCTTCTTCTTCCTCTTCTTCGTCTGGAACATGGTCGCGATCCTCTTCGGGCTTGATCTTGAGCTTCTGTTCCGATTCTTCATCGTCTAGGTCATCCTTCTCGACTTGGCCAGGAATATAAAAGCGCATCTCAACCAATTGATCAGGGCGATTCTTCTTCGGCCCGTTGAATGGCAATGCATTTGCATTGGACGATGCACCGGTGTTTTGCTCGGGTTGCTGTTCTTTAGGATTGAGGAACTCCATCGATACTTCTGTGCGACCAGCAATGTTGCTGTTTGCGATCGTAGCAAGCGGCAACGCAAACGCAAGCTTATCCCGGACAAGAAACTTCATATCACGGTCATCAACCTGTGCTGACCCCCAATTCCATCCTCGCACGGAAATTTCTTGTGTTTCGAGCGGCTGGTCATAGCAATCACGGACAGTTTTGGCAAGACGATCATGATCATCACGCTGAAAGTTCTCAAAGGAGGCAATGTGAGCCATCTCGTCCGATTCGTCGCCCTTTAACCGAATTTGCAATTGGAAATTCCTTGCTACGCTGCATACATTAGATGGACACGTACCGAGACCAAGTGAAACCTGCAACCTGATCCGCAGGAATCGTCACGGTGGACCCTTCACCAAGTGGCTTCCACCCTAATCCAGCACTCGAGAAGCGAATCTTGCCCAACGCCTTGCCTGAACCATGATACACGTTGTCGAATTGGGTCGTCATCGTCAGAAGCACCGCGACGCGATGCTGACTAAGCATGTGCCTAGAGTGCGTTCTGTGCTGGACGTGTAGTTTGTTGCCAATTGAAGGTTACATTGTAGATTGAATAGTTACGGTATTGTTTATGTGCATCTAGGGAAGGAATAGCCGCGAAAATGCTGCGACAGGGGTCCGACATGTGGGGCAAAGCGGCATAGAACGGCGATTCGCATTTTGCAGAGCAAGTAATGCATGCTGTTTGTTGGCCATAGTGTCTCTGCAAGTATTACACAGAGCAACACATCGGCAAGGCCAGCATATGATGGTGCGTTCTTCTGCACAACACACTACACACAAGCGAAGCCGCTCGCGATCGTATTCATTCGGAGCATTAGCTCGCAAAGCGCTCCTTCGTTCTTGTAACAGTTGAATCAAAGCCAGGCGAGTCTGATGGTCAGAATCCTTGGTGTGTGATAGTCTTGATCGCGCAAACAATGCAGAGAAGCCAGAGTTCGATAATGACAAAGAGCTGGGCTCAGCGAGCTGCTTGTAAGCGCTTCGAGTCAAAGGCGGTGATGCGTCGCTACGAAGCATGTGTTGAATGAGTGTTTCGTGGAAGGATGCGTCATCGGGATTTTGAGCATCTTGAGCAAGAGCTACTAATTCCAACGGATCAAGGTCATTCATCTCCGATTCCTGTGCAGCACGTAGGGATCGCTGTTGGCGTAAATGTTCTAAGCGCTGATGAATACGGAGTGCTTGAGATTTTTGCAGTTGCTCGCGAGCAATACGTGCTGCTCGTTCCGCTTCGCCGTTGGTCCCATGCCAAAACAAGCGTACATAGCGTGGAACTTCTTGAACAAAGGTCGGCGGCGTAGGTAGAAAGCGCGAGACGTATAGACCAGCTTCTCTTACGACCGTCCAAACGATTTCGAAAAGTGTGCCGAAGAAATTGGACATCGCGCGCATACCATCTGCGCCGCGAACTACACCGCCCATTTCCACGCCAGAGTGTTCCAGAATTACACGAACATCCTTGATCTCCTTCTCGAATGGGAAGCGGCCTTTTGCCTCAATTTCCTCCAGATCCTCGATACTTTGCTCAATGATAGTGCGTCCATCAGGGTAAAGTTCAACATAAGTATGAAGAGGAGCCTCTAAAGTAGGGAATTCACACGAAAATCCTGTGAGTTTGGTAGCGTGTAAACATGCCGTGCCGAGTTTCAGCACAGCCAACGAGAAATCGTCCGTGGACCGAGGCAAAGTGCTTCGGTGGAAAAACAGACGATGAAGATCAATGCGTCCATCGACAAAGTACATCGTCAACAGATGCAGGCCGATCGTCATAGCGATCATTGCAATAATGCATACTTCCATCAACCTGCCGCCGCTATGTATGATGGGATATTCGTCCGAGCAGTATACAGTATACAGGTAATGCACGGTCATGATGCTGTTTAAAAGCATTGTGTAGGTCAATCTCGAAATCAATGGCGGTTTTCGGCACAGAAGCAAGTTCATTCCCAGTAATTCCACGATTCGCGAGATCACAATAAGGTAAACATGAGCATTGGGGGTGAACTGGCGTGCATATGCATGCAAGTACAATATGAATCCGAATCCGACCAAGTTAAAGGTAGATGGATCATCTTGCGAGCTTCTGTGGTAAGATTCTGCACCTACGTTAACTCTAAAGATCGCACAGCTGTACTGACGCACTGAGCGACACAGGCACTTAGCAACGCAGTCCATAGCAGTGAGCTTGGTTCCAGATGACTTGGTGCTGGAGGTATCCATGGACGCAGATATTGCAGCCAGTTCTGAGCGGAGGGTGTGGAAGTATCTGCGCACATAGCTTGCAAAAGTCTGAACAATGCGAAGGATAGCATTCCGATCGATGGGAGTCGCAACAGGATGCGTTCTTTTGGAGAGATCTGTGCCGGGCGGCCATACGGAGTACATACATGCTGGATTCGATTGGTGATTATGACCTAAATCAGTGACAATCGGCGTACCATCACTACCATTGCGATTGCATAGCGCGAAACGAAGAAATGAAGTGGACTTTCTGTTAAGATAGGGATCGCTTGTTTGGCCTGTGGATCTTGCATCGATGAAGATTCGAGTGTAGTGGACATGATCGGTTCCAGTGCCAGCTTATTGCATCCCTTGTGCAACGATCAACTCACTAATTCACGCCTAGCCACCTGAGTATTGTGGAGGGATGGTGTGGAGGCCGTTTCTCGCGTGATGAGGCATAGAAGAGAGACTATGGATGGTATATGTAGGAAGTAGGCAGTAGAAGTAATTAATTTTCGCGCCATTGGAAGCCGCATTGCTGTTTTGTGCATTTGAAGAAGGTAGTCACTAGCGTGTTAGTCCGAAAAGGGCCACTTACTTGGCTCGTCTGCGGACCGAATTTGAAGCTGCATGAAATAAGCTCGGTTATTATCGCATTTGGGGCACACCGCTGCATCAGTTTCCACTGGAACATACCATCGGTACTGTCAACGTTTTTCCAGCTATCTTCCCCGCCCATCACATCGTCGACTTGTTTTCGTTCGAGTCGCGTTCGTGATGTGACCTGCTTGTCCATCGGGAATTCGAACGGACAGGTTGGACATGTCCATTTATTTTCACCACTGAGTGATGATGGAAGTACAGTGACCACATTTGCACAATTGGGACAAAATAGCATCGTTTCACTGCTGACCAGCGAAGGTTGCGCACGGCCGCAAAAAAAAAAGGACGCGAATTTGACTGTGTGCAAACACCAGGCAAGCAATATATACACACCTGTGAGGCTCTACACCAATGATCAGCTCCTATAGCTCAGCTGGCAGAGCGCAAGACTGAAGTTCTCAGTCATTCTTGAGGTCACCTGTTCGAACCAGGTTGGGAGCAAACTTTTTGACAGTTAAATTGCTGATGGCCTGTTCCACACGTAATGACTCTTGGGCGAAATTTTGGAAACTGCGGCTCCTATAGCTCAGCTGGCAGAGCGCAAGACTGAAGTTCTCAGTCATTCTTGAGGTCACCTGTTCGAACCAGGTTGGGAGCACTTTTTGTCACCCCCAACTGGGGAATATGTGTATTGTGTTATGGACGACGCAGCATCCAGACTATAGTTTGTATGTGCATTTTTTATTCTGAATTCTGGCAGACAATCGGGACGAATTTCTTGCGCGGCCCGCGTCACAAGCAGAATGGCGGAACTTCAACAAAGACAAACGCTGTGACGTTTTATGTGGGGTAGACACATTGGCAGGTGGAACATGGTTTGGTGTGACGCGCACAGGTGCCATTGCTGTATTGACGAACTTCACTGAACCCACTGAGAACCGAAGTGCATCAAGCGATGTGAGATCTCGTGGCGAATTGGTAATGGGGTTCCTCAAGATGTATGCGAGCGAAGAAGCGGATTCAGATGGCATACAGGCCTATTTAGATCGAGTTTCGCAAGAGCAAAATGAGTACAATGGTTTCAATTTGCTTGTTGGATCTACTAAGACCCAACAGGGTACGATGCTTGGCTATATCACTAACCGATGTGACGATCAATTCAGCGGGAACTTGCTACGGAATGCACGCCAAGAAGCCTGCAATGGCGTTTATGGTCTGAGCAACAGTACATTGGCTACACCGTGGCCGAAAATCCATCGAGCCAAAAGACTTATGCAAGACGTTTTGCAGGAGAAAAGTGACTCCGATGCGATTCTGGAAGGCGTGTTCGGAATGCTTCAAGACACCTCTGGCCCTATAAGAACCCGAGAGGATATGCAAAGAACCATTCATGTTGAGCCGTTTCTCTTGGCTAGTCAGCCAAATGGCGTCCAGGTAGGCGCATGTGGATCAAAACATTCCAGCTGGTACGGAACACGTACTTCAACGGTGCTGATGATCTCACGACATGCGCCACGACGTGCTTTGTTCGTCGAGCGGGATGTCTATGGCTGTATTGAGCCACAAAACGAACATACACAGCCTACTTTACTTGATTTTGGCCTGGAATCCGTAAGGGCAAATCATGAGCGTCGATATGAATGGAGTCTATAAATTACATAGATCGAACGCGATGCACGGTCAAGACGGGCACACGTCCGTCCGTTGAGATGTTGTGATTGATGCCTAGGTCAATCGAATAACGTACTTTGTATTCCCTTGGGAATCAAATCAGGTTGCCAGTCAACTGTTGCATACCAGGAAGCACCACTGAACGATCCGCCTCGTTTTGCAGCCTGCACAAGCTGGTCGCGTCCTAAATCATAACCATTTGGAATGATAGTGTGTTTCTCAGCGACAGACTTGATTGGTCAATTAGAGATGCGTACCTCTTCTTTGGACACGGCAAGAAACCACGCTCCCGTATCCGCCAGGGATCCGTTCTGCTTCCAAACGCGGAAATGATTGCCGCCCGCTAAACTTTCCCAGCAGGAACCGAGCCATACGCCTAAAGACCCAGGATAGATCAGACTTCGGTATTCGAACAACTGGGGCTGCCAGCCGTTGCCATCGCCGAGATTGGCAAACTGTAGTCCGCCAAGATGAATATGAAGGCATTCAAAAGAGAACCCTATCGAGCGAACATAATTTAGCAAACCGTGCTCACTCAACACTGAAAGATCGGAGTGCCCCGAGATGATTACATTGATCGGTTCACGGAATCCATTGCCTGTGATATCTAGCATACTCCCTTGACCTTCCTTAGGCGATACCCAACCTGGAGAATGTGCATCTCCGGGCCGCTCGACGGTCTCCAGCGAGACTTGATCGTATATGGAATTTGGGTGTGCGTGCGTGATTTTTGCGGGGTGCAACTTGGCTTGAACTTGTGCGTGTTCGGGGTATATATAGGGCACATTTGACCCGGAGATTTTTGCCTGAGTATGTACAATGGCCAACACGAGTAATATCAAGTAGCAAAGCTTCAGCATTGCATTTGGATGTCTATGTAATAAAGACGCACGAGCCATGCTGCTGGACCTCTGCTGGTCAAGCAGGGAGAATTGGCAGCTGTTAGCTAAGCAGGCTGAATCACGTAAAGGTCTATTAAGCTAGCAATTAGAAACTACTCAGTGTTTGATAATGGGACTTTGGGAGGCCGAGGCGGTGCCGTAGCCATGGAATTAGGGCGCGAAGCTTGTTGAGTGGAAGCATGAGCTGCTTCTTGTTGAGCAAAATGCTGCTGAAGCCTTGCCTTTTCGTCGACGGCACGCGCTTCTGACTCGGTTAAGTAGGGTGAGGGTGCGGAAGGCTCGCTTGAGTCTGCTGGAGGAATGAGAGATAGCGGTGGTTGTAAGGCGGAACGGTTTGAGGTGGACAAATTCGATGAATCTGGGTGCGGTCCAATTGCACTTGCTGGACGGAACGCTGAGGGTGGTAAAGATTCCGAAGAAACAGGAGCCATCGACGCCTGGGATGGCACATACGAAGGATCGTCACGATGGAAGTCCGCGACTTGTTGCTGTGCACGTTCGTACAAATTGCGCTTCTCGTCTGCTGCAGACGGATAAGTGCCGATCGAGGAGAGCGATTGCTTGTTAGTAGCAGATTGAGTGGGATTGTCTGAAGGCAATGCATTTTGACTGCTTGTAGCAGCCGCAGGTTGCAGATTTGGCATGGGATCTTGAGTGCCTTGCTGTGTAGCGATAAATTCGTTCAACGCAGGGAACGATGCACCTTGTTCATAGCCACTTTGGTAACGTTCCGCCTCTGCGCGAGCTTGCTCGAAAAGACGAGACTTTTCGTTTTCTGCAGACGGGAAGCTTGATACAGGATACGACGCCATCATAGAGACAGGCCGGCGGTTCTCGTGACTCGGGGAAGCTTGTGCAGAAAGCGTATTCCCTGAGCGACGAACGCGGATGGGCTCGGCAAAGGTAGGAGATGCAGCACGGAACCGATTGGAGCGCGGGCTGGTGGGGGAGTCTTGAGGCATACGTAGCATAGAAGTACGACGACTTGCAGGTCGAGAAGGAGATGCGATGCCCCCTTCGTAAGGAAGCAGGTCGCCGGGTCTAACAAAGTTACTTGGGAGTTGCATCAAGGTGGTTTGTGCCATGACGGAAGCGGGTCGTTGGCGAGGTGGTGTTTTGCTGCTGTCCGGCAAGGGAGAATCCACGGGAGAAGCACTAGAATCCGTTTGGAAGACTAGGGGACGACGCGGTGTTGGTGTGCCCAAGAACATTGCATCGTTCTGAAGCTGTGGGATGCTATCCGAGCCATTCACAAGCAACCGCTCATAGACCTCGAAGCGATTGCGCGACTCCTGAGGAGAGTGAGTGGGCGGCACGGGAGGATTTGTGAGCTGAGTATTGCGTGGTTGCAACATAGAGGGATCTGTGGGATGAGTTGTGGTGGAATTTGGCTCAAGACACAAAGAGGGGACATTGCCGATGCGAGCCATCGTTGATGTGCTAACGGAGGACATGAACGAGGAGATTTGCAACTTCAAACGCTCAAACACTACGCATTCCTTGCCGATTTCCACAGCAACACGCAATGAATGGGTGATTTCGATATGTTTTGCGGTGGTGGTAGTGGCGAGAGTTCTTGTTTTGGGAACTTCTACACTGAGATCAAACATCATGAACTCATTCGGAGGGAGTTTCTTGCGGATATTCTTTGTTTTTTGAGCCAAGACCTCCGAGCGCTGCTGGACGCTGTTGGAGCCTTGGTTGGAGCTGATTTGGTTACGCGAAGACGGCAGGTAAGTGACTGTTTGGCGCACGCTCAAACTGATGCCTTTCAGTTTTGCCGGGTCGACTGAATTGCTGTAGACAATTAAACGTATATCAATCGAGTCGAGCGGTGCGTAGAACTCTTTGTTTCGATAGAGCTTCACGCGGAAAGCGCCCTGAGATTCTTCGTACTCTTCGGGAACACTGGAGGTGAGTGACTTCACAAGGATACTCACTTGTATAGTGGCCAAGTCGAGTGTAGTTCGTGTTTCTCAAGCAGGATATCCTGAGTGTCACTGACATTGACTTTGACGGATTTTCTTTTGAAGAAACCTCTAGCGTGTCAGAAAATAGCCAACGTACTTTTTTGTGCGAGCACAAAGTGTTGCGATCAGTTCATACCTGATTCCCCCGTGTTTCTCTAAGCGAAGAGATCCAGGAAGTTTCTCAGGGATGGGGATACGGAAAGGAAATTGGCGCTGAATTAGTACCGTCGATCCTTACAGCAGGTAATTGTGCCCAAGCTTCGCCATCAACATGTAAGCCGCCCTTTGCAGCCCATACATCCATTGGACCCTCACCGATCAGCTCTGTCCAAGACTCGCCTGTAGGTAAGGATTCGATCTTGGCCATTTCTACACGAAGCCAAGCGGCCTCAACTGCTGGAGTATTGGCATGGACAACAATGATTCCTGAAAGATGAGCTGCCGGGCGAGTTTCTGATGCAGGAATCCCTGGGTATCCCTGCAGGAACCCACGATTGGGCGGAGGACGAAGCTGGCTAAAAAACCGTTAGCTGCAAAAATAACGCACATCCGGGGCGGAGCCATGAAAATCAATTAGAGCGCAGTGCCGATCTTTACGGTAGGTGTGCGGAGCTAGGCAGCCGAGCAAACCACCCGACCCTGCCAAGAAGGTAGGACCACGTGACCTGTCCGATAAGCATCTTCGGCAAGCTTTGCAATGAACGACTTCCAAACATCAATCAACTATCTCATGATATCTAACCAGAGCACATAGTGCAAGCATCCTTGTTCTCTAACGAACAAGCAAGACGATCCGCTTCTTCTTGCCTTCGTCGCTGGCGTTCCAAAGCGGCTTGGAACCCGAGATCTTCCACGGCATCAGTGCGTGGCCCATCTTGAGTAATGGTTCCATCGACGCCCAGTCGGCCTACGCCTTGAACCAATGGGTCGTAGGTCGCAGACGCATCGATCGGCGGCGACACGTCTGCATCTGGTAACAAAGTGGGCTCAGTAGGGGTTGCGAGGCCAGCAATGTGTGTATTTGCCGCTGGATCCACACGGGTCTTGGCGAGGTTCTTGGCAGCCAAGGCGTCCTTTTTGGACTGCTTCGCGGCGAGGATATCTTCGTTGCTTAC